GGAAAAGCATAAACTGGGAGGAGCAACATGTTCGTGCTTAAGGTCTTCATGTGACACGCCCCTGGATATGATTTTTCTTGACGTGATCCGCCAATTACTCAACATAGTTTCAAGCCTTAAGAATTTACTCATCATTGGTGCTTATATGTGAGTTTCCTTGATATCAAACAAATGTTTTGCAGTTAGAAAATTTTATTATGAGAATGAAAATTCTAATGCAACAGTTATGTAAGTCTTGAAGATTTTGAAAAGATATCGCACAAATTTTGCGAGTTAGAGCATCATTTATATAGGAAAAACATATGATACCAACATAACTATTTAGAACATTCATGGGAGTCAGGAACACTATCTCATTGAAGTATGCTTTCCAAATAACCTTGCTTCAATTAGGACTTTTGAAGGTTGTAATGTGGTCTGGTTCATGGTTTTAGAAAAAAAAGATTTAAGGCTCAAAATATTTGGTGCCCACCCCATTCATGATGTTCTCCAATCCTATGTTCAGTTAATTCAACATGAGCGTTCATCTCTCAAAAGGATTTTGTGACGGTTAAGGAAACGACGAGGTTTTCGGAGTAGAAACCACCCTCATGTCTTCGTGTTTGTTGTCACCAATTTGTTCTTTGCTGAGGACTTTTCTTTGTAGTCCTTTCTTTGCAATTTTTATTTTCCCTAATTTTTGCCTGAACTAATTTTTTTGAATTGATAGTCCAGCGGGATGCCTTAATTTTGCCTAAGTCACACATTTTCATTTTTTTTTGACTTAGCAGGCTTTTCTTTTTCTTGATTTTTTTGACTTTTTGAACAAAATGTGTGACATTAGCTTGTCTTTGCTTGTTGAGAGGATCATGATTGCCTCGTTTCTTGATGAATGAGGGATAACATTGTGGTTCCACATCCTCTAGATTCATTATACATGAAGGATAGCCCTCGTAGTTTCTCTTCAAAAAACATCTTCCTTATGAATTTTGAACACTCAGTCAGATTAACTAAAAACTACCCTGTCCCAGGTTAAAATTCAAGGTTTTTTCGTATAAAAAAGAAACTTCTACTTCAAAGGCTCAAAAGGGGTTAGCAAGGGATTATCTTCCTTATATCTCCGGTGTTTAGGGATTTGAAACAATGCCTGTACATCATCAACAAGATTTTATCCAAAAGCAAACAACCAGAGATTTTATGTTCTTTAGATCATCATCCTCTCTTCAATCTCTGCCTAGGCAAGAGAATGAGCAACAATTTGGTATCATAGTGCAAAAGCAATTTAAAATTTGAAAACAAATATGAGTGAAACGAATGAATTTCTTCAAGACAAACATACTCATTGTATTAAGATAATCATTCAGGTGCAAACAAGTTCTTACATGCAAACAATGTTTTGATAAACAAGAAAAATTACAAAAAGCATAAATAAGTTAATAATCTGGGAAGGCTTTCCATTTGGACTTGAATTACCGAAAACATCCTTCAAAAACTCAAAGTGACCATCAATCGTGTTTACTCTTTGGCACATGCTTGATTTGAACTTCAAAACCAACGTCTTTGAATGACAAGATACCACTTCTGACCAACTTCTGAACCTCAATCTTCAAAGCAAAGCAACCCTCCAAGTCATGCCCAGGAGCACCTTGATGAAAAGTACAAGCCAAATCAACTTTGTAGTACCAATGTATCTTCTCAGGAACCTTCGGTGGAGGTCGGGTCCGAACCAAATTCCTCTGCATCAGGATAGGGAACAACTCTGTATAGGTAATTGGAATTGGATCAAACTGGGTTTTCCTTTGATTAGGAACTTGCTGATTCTGTTGATGAATAGGAGAAACATGATGATTCTGACAATGATTATTTCTTCCTCTGGTTCTCTTCTTGGAAAAGTTATTATCAAACTTCTTCACACCATTAGTTGAGCTACCATCTTCATATGAACATCCCTTCCCAACATCTTCTTCTAGACGCACTCCCACATTCACCTTGTCAGGAAAGTCACTAGGCGCATTAATTATCATCTTCTCATGATTTCAGAGTTTCAGTGAAGACTTTTATCATCGCTTCCTCCCTCCTAGAAGGATTGACTTGGGCGGCAACCAGAATTTCAACCAAACCAGTTAAGTGCTCCATACTAGCTTTCAAAATAGTCATCTCTCTACGGAGTTTAGAAACCTCTTGCTTGATATTCTCCATTGTTCTCTTAGCGCGAGTGTTGTACTGGTGAGACCAAAGGAAAAATAAGACTCGGAAGAAGACCTTTGAAAGTGAAACAAAAAATGTAGAATGATGTATGATATGCAAAAGAGAGTTTTTATTTGATTTTCAAGGAACTCAAGATATTAAGTTGTAAACATCAAAGTATGAAGATAGAAGATGAATTTTAAACTTGCTCCAAACATTGATCAAGTTATCATCAAGATCAATCATCCATTTTGGTGGATTAGGGTTTTCGCCCTATCAACACCCAAGATCCATTGAGCTTGACGAAACCTGTGATGTTTACAAAGAAAGACCTCCAAATTCCTTAAAGTTAAGTGAAAAGGGTTTTATGGATGCATGAATGCATGGCTATGCGACAACCACAAGCAAGGTCACAAATAAAGTCGAAAGGTTCAACGTCACGAGCACAGAGTCAAAGATAAAGAACATCCCCAAGGTATGTACTAACGGTTTAATCACACCTGCAAGACAAGGTTCTAAGAGTTCCCGGAGTCTATATTCCTCCTTCGGATATTACCAACGTCTTGATTACTCAATAATCAGCAATATTCTCAAGAGAAACTCATCAGAGCGTAGCATCGCGTGAAAACTACTTCCGGATTACTCCGTTATAATCTCCGCGCTACACCTAAAAGGCCAAGGTGGGTTAAGGGTTATACGGTTCTCAGCTTCTTTGGCTCCCAGGTCGAAAATAATAATGTCTTCCCGATTACTCGGTAAACAAATATTACGTTCAAAAGGGCTTTCCACTGAGTGGGGGATCTCATGCCTTCTTCTTCGGGATTACTCCCTCAAAGTTAACTTGACTATACCGCCCGTCCTATTCCTAAGTGTAACTTAGTCCGGGTATAAGACTTGTCCTTTGTAAATATTATCAACACCCAAATAATCATAATATATACATATAATCAAACAATCAAATAATGATAAAACAGATAAAACAAATTAGGCTTAACCCACTTAGGGATGGACCAGCAAGAGGTCAATCATTCCCCAGCAGAGTCGCCAATTCTGCAGCGGTGAAAATCGGAGATCAAGCTATTAATTAATTTGACTCACAAAAAGCAAGAGTCGCCACCGCGCTTTATTATTTCCAAGGGAAAAGGGAAAAGAGCGAAATAAAACCCTAAAAAAACATGCAATGTAAAATAAAAGGTAATACAATGCGTTTTTGAAAAGAGATTGAGAGTTCGGGGGTTGATTATGCAATGGGAAGGTACTAGCACCCAATGCATCTGCGGTACTCCGCAGGAACCTTTTGAAATATCCGTTTTTTGGTTAAAATTGTTTGTTTGATAAGAATGGTTCGTTTGGCTAAAAAAATGGGTATGGACGAGATTTTGAAAATGTGATAACCTAATGTCGAAGTTTTGACTTAAAAGGTATGAGTTTGAAAATGGAGTCTTTTGGGAAAATTATCTTAAGTTTGGAAAAATAGTAAACAAGCAAAAAATGAATGAGGCTATTCGCACAATTGTAGAAGACGTATTTGATGACATGAAGTCAGCTGAGTTGAAACATTTCCCTTGGAATTAATCATAAGTGGGTAGATCTAATATTCGAGTAAGAAATCATAAATAGTTAAAATCCACGAGAAAAGAACAAGGTAGATAACAAGATAAATTGTAAGAAACTAAATGAATGGATAAAGAAGAACCATGAATAAAAGAAAAGTGTAATTAAAAAATTATCTAGACTAATTTGAAATTCTAAGGTTACTAAGTAAACTAAACTTAAATTCTAAAGTGTCTAACTAAATTAAATAAAATTTTGAAGTTATTAACTAAAACTAAATTAAAATTCTAAAGTTACTAACTGAAATTCGAAAGTTATTAAATTAAATCTAAAATAAATTAACACTCTAATATTACTGAATTAGGTCTAAACTAAATTAATTCTAAAGTTGCTAAATTACATCTAAACTAGTTTAAGTATAAACTAAATTCATTATAAAATTACTAATTTAATCTAAACTATATTAATAATAAAATTACTAACTTAAATCAAAACTAAATTAATTCTAAATTAAAGATTAAAATTCTAAGCAATTGGTTTACTGTTAGTTGTTTTTTTTTCAACAAAACAAATCCATAGATATATTAAACAAAATAAAGAGAAATATTAGATTGAGTGCAATATTTGCCACATATAGATACATAAAGACACATCTATGAAGAAGGATGAACCTTTCCAGAAGAAATTCCCTTCCAAGCTGATTTGAAAGAAGAAGTAGCAGAATTCAAAGCAGCTTCCATATACTTGTTAGAAGCAATAGCAGCAGTTTTCTCCATGAAATTCCCCATCTTCCTTGCTCTCTCACCAGTTTCAACTAAACTCTGAACTTCATCTCTTGAAATCCTCTCCATCTCTTGTTCAAATCTTGTGAATTCATCCATGGCGCTTTCCATAACCGAATCGAGATGCTCCTCGGCTTCTTGCATAGCGTGTTCGGTTTCTTCGAGTTCGGTTTCTTGTTCGAGCTCCGCGGCTGCCCAGGCTTTGTAGGACTCGATCTCGAAGAGTTTCATCAGATCTTCGATTGTGGATGGATCGAAGGCTTTGTCCTGCAGAGATTGGTCATGAGAATTCAATTTATTTTGCAAAAAAGGAGAACAATGATTTTTTTGTTTTTTTTGTTGTATCAGGGGAAGAGATTGGATAGAGGGGGAAAGGGTGGTTGTTTTTGTGAATGGTAGTGGAGAGATGGTGAAGGAGGTTTCGGACAGTAACAGGGGGGTGGAAGGTTGAGATGGTTTACTGCTTGATTGATGGTAGGTTAGTTGTAGAAATTGAAGATGAAGGAGGATGGGCGGAGGTTACAGAGTTGGACTGAAATTGATGGAGGATGGTTTATGGTGATGGTGATGAAAAGCGATTGGGGAGTGAAAGATGGTTAATTGAAGGAGGTGAATGGAGTTTGGCGTGGTGAGGTGTATGCTGTATGTTTGTTGTTATTTCACGGGGGGTTGATGAAAGGTGAACATAGGTGGACTGAAGGAGGGTGAGGGACGAAATTGCAGGTTCGTTGGTGTTGTTGTTAAGGAGAAAGAAGCGAGGTGGGAGGGTAGCAAGTGTGGAGTCCGGTTCAGCAACGAAGGTGGTTGTTCGTCGGAGGGATTTCCGGTTGAGGTGATGTTGGCAGTTTCACATTATTTCCTTTTTCTGTTCTTCTTGAATTCAATAATCTTGCTTGTAACCTGCAGGTTGTTAGAATAATAACTGGAAAAAAATATATGGTAATTTGTGAATCTTCTTGCTATGCTGCTTTTTGACAAGTTTATATGCTTGAGAAATTTCTATAGTTAATGTAAAAGATGGAATATAAAAAAAAGGGTTTAGATTTTGGGTTAGAAAAAGTATATCCATCGTGAATTTGTTACCGGTTTTTGTAAAGATATAAAAGTGGTGGATATTGTAAGTAGAAAAAAAAAGAGAGAGATAAGGGTAAAAAGTGATTAATATTGTTTTTGGAAATTTTGTATCGATCCTCAATTTCATCCAACAACCAATAGGAATCAAGCATAGTATAATCAATAATTTTTTTGTGACCAAAAAGCCCCTGAATGACAAAAATAAAACCTGAAAGTATAAAAAATAACTCAATTTAAAATAATTTTTGAATTTTTTCTGAATTAAAAATAAAGACACAAAATGACCGAGAACGATAAAAAACGGATGAAAATTTATCCGATAAAATAAAATGAACACATTAAAATAAACTACATGTCACGAAGATTAAAGAAAAAATATTCAAGAAGTCAAAAATCAAAAATAAAATAATAATAAAAATATCAGACTAAAAAGACGTTTATGGTTAAAAATGAGACTTCGAACTACACCGAAAAATAAAGCGAGCATACCGTCATAATCTACGTGAAACGCAGATTCATAAAATGATCGGTAAAAGGTTAAAACTTGAAATATTTTCTCGCTACTTTCCCACATAGTGTCGAATCGCTTTTAACAGTCTGTCTATAAAACTGAAATATTTTATTATCGACATATAAACAACTTGGAGCAGTGCAAGAAAATAGTAAACAGATAAAAATGAATGAAGTGAAATGTCGGGTATTCTACAACTGAAAGACGATGCAAACTTTGATTTAAACTGACTTTTTCTGGTCAACTTAAATACGACTAATGATGCAAAATATGATGAATGAAGATATTTACTAATGATTGTGACCAAATAACAAAATATGATATGAAAGTGCGACTGAAACATATTAGGGGCGAAATTTAGGGTGCAACAGTTGTGCCTTGATGAATCAGTCTTCGAGAATCCATAATCAACCGTACTTTTGGCTTGGGAGACTCAAAACCTTAATTGAGGCGCGACACCTAATGCTCTTGATTCAGACCTGTCTCTGCACATGACACAAAAGAAAACATGAACATACACCTTTGTATGCGATTAGAAATTAGTGATACATATGCTAAAAATGTTCAAAACACTTGACAATCTTCGCATAGTGAAAGCTCGAAGGTGAGACGTTAAAACCGACCGTATTTCGTGACCTTGACTTATCTTTAAAAATGCAAAAAATAAAAATGGGATCTTAGGTAAAAAATTGGGGTACAACAGCTGTCTTCGAAGAAAAATAACGTACAAGCTGCCCATGAAGAGACTGCCACTTGCCGTTTTCCGAAGAATAATAACGTACAAGCTGCCCATGAAGAGACTGCCACTTGCCATTTTCCAAAGAAAAAATAACGTACAAGCTACCCATGAAAGGACTGCCACTTGCCGTTTTTTCGAGGTGTCAATAATATACAAGTTGCCTCGTGAATAGACTGCCGCTTTTGTTTTTTTTCAAAGGTAACGATAACATACAAGTTGCTCAAATAGATAAGCTGCCTGATGTTTTTTCAAAGATATCAATAACATACAAGTTGCTCATGAAGAGACCGCCGCTTGCTGTTTTTTCAAAGGTAATGATAACATACAAGTTGCTCATGAAGAGACCGCCGCTTGCTGTTTTTTTCAAAGGTATCAATAACATACAAGTTGCTCATGAAGAGACCGCTGCTTGCTGTTTTTTCAAAGGTATCAATAACATACAAGTTGCTCATGAAGAGACCGCCGCTTGCTGTTTTTTCAAAGGTAACGATAACATACAAGTTGCTCATGAAGAGACCGCCGCTTGCTGTTTTTTCAAAGGTATCAATAACATACAAGTTGCTCATGAAGAGACCGCCGCTTGATGTTTTTAAAAGTGACAATAACACACAAGTTGCTCATGAAGAGACCGCCGCTTGCTATTTTCTCAAAAGAACAATAACACACAAGTTGCTCATGAAGAGACCGCCGCTTGCTAATTTTTCAAAGGTATCAACAAAATATCGTGAAGATATTGCTGGAGGTGAGAATCAATAATTTTATCGGGGATGGACAAACTGCTCATGAAGAGACCTCCATTTGTCATAACATAAAGAAATTCAGAAATAATCAAACTGCTCAAATAAAGAGTCAGTCGCTTGTTGTCATATCGATATTCCAGAAGAAGGTTATGATAACACTACTAGGGAATAAAGTTCGTCTTCAATGGGGAACTATGAATAAATCCTTCCCGAGGAGACCAAGTATTTACATACACAAGATCAATGCACTCTCCATCTAGGTTTCCCAGCCTAGAGAGATCCACAGGGTATCGTTCACAAGAGACAAAGCTCAATCCAGGAATAAACTGGAGAGAAAACAATCAAACAAGACTCCATCCAATGAGGAAACAACTCAAATGGGGATTTATCCTATCCATAGATGGAAAAGGAAAGCTAAAGCAAGATTCTTCCACGAGAGTTAACTCAGTGGGGAATTAGAAAAGAGGCGCACTTTCTGCTTAAGTTGACACTCTATTTGGAAAGATCAAATATGCTATTTGAATAGACATAACCAAGGTATACGAACTCAAAGATATCAAAAAATACAAATGTGCGTGCATGATGCAAGTATGAACGAATGAATGAATGTCATGTATATGTTGACAAAACAGACAGGGGAGATAGACAGAAGATGATAAGACGTCCCAGTACAACCCGACGCTCAACTAATCTCAACAAAAGGGGAACATTACTGGAGATAAAAACAAAAGCCATCATTGGAGCAAAGTCCTTTTACAAGGCTTAAATCTCTTTGGAGAGGAAGATATTTTTCGGTAGAAAGCCCAAAGTTCAGTCTTCTATCACTAACAATCCCTTGAAAGGATGACAACACGACCAATGTTTCGGCTGGAAAAAGTCATGCTTAGCTGGAGATACTGGGAACACCACCCTCTGATAATGTGTACAAAGCATATCACATATCTTAACAAATTTGGATTTCCCCTGGGACTAATTTTGGATGCCCCAAGTTTACTGCTGATGAGCTGCATGTTGCACGACAATTCTTGCGAATAGCTTCACTTCTAACATGCCCCAAGCTAACTCGTTGATGAGGAGAAATCGTCTCAAGAGGATTTTACAAAAGACCTGGCATTCACCATGCTCTGGTGTCTTCAAACTCTTAGAGGAATTCATCAAATCTCGAAGTGATTGCCCCGGATTGACTGTAGTTGGCACAACAAAGTCTTCAAATTTTGCCCCAAAAGAGTAAACAAGTTGGGAAAGCATTAATTAGGAGAAGCAACATGTCCGTGCTTAAGGTCTTCAGGTGACATGCCCCTGCATATGATTTTTTTCTTGAAATGATCCGCCAATTACTCAACAGAGCTTCAGGCCTTAAGAATAGACTCATCACTGGTGCTTATATGTGATTTTCTTTGATATCAAACAAATGTTTTGCAGTTAGAAAATTTTATTATGAGAATGAAAATTCTAATGCAACAGTTATGTAAGTCTTGAAGATTTTGAAAAGATATCGCACAAATTTTGCGAGTTAGAGCATCATTTATTTTTGTATAGGAAAAACATATGATACCAACATAACTATTTAGAACATTCATGGGAGTCAGGAACACTATCTCATTGAGGTATGCTTTCAAAATAACCTTGCTTCAATTAGGACTTTTGAAGGTTGTAATGTGGTCTGGTTCATGGTTTTAGAAAAAAAGATTTAAGGCTCAAAATATTTGGTGCCCACCCACTTCATGATGTTCTCCAATCCTATGTTCAGTTAATTCAACATGAGCGTTCATCTCTCAAAATGATTTTGTGACGGTTAAGGAAACGACGAGGTTTTCAGAGTAGAAACCACCCTCATGTCTTCGTGTTTGTAGTCACCAATTTGTTCTTTGCTGAGAACTCTTCTTTGTAGTCCTTTCTTTGCAATTTTTATTTGCCCTAATTTTTGCCTGAACTAATTTTTTGAATTGATAGTCCAGCGGGATGCCTTAATTTTGCCTAAGTCACACGTTTTCATGTTTTTTTTTTGACTTAGCAGGCTTTTCTTTTTCTTGATTTTTGACTTTTTGAACAAAATGTGTGACATTAGCTTGTCTTTGCTTGTTGAGAGGATTGTGATTGCCTCGTTTCTTGATGAATGAGGGATAACATTGTTGTTCCACATCCTCTAGATTCATTATACATGAAGGATAACCCTCGTAGTTTCTCTTCAAAAAACATCTTCCTTATGAATTTTGAACACTCAGTCAGATTAACTAAAAACTACCCTGCCCCAGGTTAAAATTCAAGGTTTTTCGTATAGAAAAGAGACTTCTGCTTCAAAGGCTCAAAAGGGGTTAGCAAGGGATTATCTTCCTTATATCTCCAGTGTTTAGGGATTTGAAACAATGCCTGTACAACATCAGCAAGATTTTATCCAAAAGCAAACAACCAGAGATTTTGTGTTCTTTAGATCATCATCCTCCCTTTAATCTCTGCCTAGGAAAGAGAATGGGCAACAAGTTGGTATCATAATGCAAAAAGAAATTTAAAATTTGAAAACAAATATGAGTGAAACGAATGAATTTCTTCAAGACAAACATACTCATTAAGATAATCATTCAGATGCAAACAAGTTCTTACATGCAAACAATGTTTTGATAAACAAGAAAAATTACAAAAAGAAGAAATAAGTTAATAATCTGGGAAGGCTTTCCATCTGGACTTGAATCACCGAAAACATCCTTCAAAACTCAAAGTGACCATCAATCGTGTTTACTCTTCGGCACGTGCTTGATTTGAACTTCAAAACCAACATCCTTGAATGACAATCGGTGAATACTTTTATCATCGCTTCCTCCTTCTTAGAAGGATTGACTTGGGCAGCAACCAAAATTTCAACCAAAACAGTTGAGTGATCCATACCAGCTTTCAAATTAGTCACCTCTCTGCG